TGGCATCAAGGCATCGATATCCATGAAGGGATCTTGGAGTGCCAGTTGCTGCGCCTCAAGGCCCATCTCGGCATCTGCAGTTTGGCCCTCCTGAACAAATGGCGGATTTGAACCGCCTTCCGCTAACTGAGGCCCTTCATGCACCACACCGCCCTGTGCGGACGGCGCAAGCCTAGGCTGCTTCGCCGAGGCTGACGTTGAGCTGTCTCGCTGGAGAGGCAAATCAAATTCGGGAACTGCGAGATCGGTATCCGCAGGACGCTTGTCTGGGACTGCAGATTTCTCTACAGCCTCCATGTCCTCACGAACTTTCTCAAAGTAGCGCATCTCGCGCTGTCGGGCCTGCTCTATTCGAGCCTTGCCCTGCTCATCTTGCATCATGGCCTCATAAAGACGGGAACGACACTGAGGAGTGTGATGGCGACGGGCCATTCCGAATTCCGCCGCGATACATCCGTCGCAGCCAGGTGTGTAGCCATGCTTGGCAAACTCCACGTCTTTGCGGAGATATACACCTCGAGGTAGATAGTCTTTCTGTTTCTCGCTTGGCTCTTCCACTGTTTGCGCAGGCGCCTCTGGCAAGTCAATCTGCAGAGGACGCTCAAGCATTGGGCTCACTGCTCCCTGATCCGGCTTTGGAGGCCGCAATCCCCAAGGCAGTCCAAGAATAGCATCAAGCTGCTTACGGTCCCACTTATCACTTGGGGGCTTGAGCTTCAAACTCCAAGCTCGAAGCACGCCCTCCGAAGTTCCTATCCACTTCAAAGCTGAGCCTTCTTGTACGCCAAGGAAGATGCCGTCCTCGAACTTTGCGTCAAGCTTGCGCTGCTTTCCGCCTTTCTCTCTCAAAGGGCGATAAAACACGCACTCTCCGAATTCAGGAAGCTTCTGTTTCCACTGTTTGCCGGTAGAACGCTCGTAGGCTGTTCTGCCGCCTGGGCCAAGCTGGTATCTGCTCCATACTGCGCCGGCGAAATCCACCAACCAAGGTAGAATCACGTGTCTAGGGTGCAACTTCATGTCATACTTGAACTCTAAAGCATCTTTCATTGTCCTGATTTGGCCTTGCATCTTGGAAACCATAGATTCAGCTTCAGCGTTCGTTTGAGACTCCCCTTTGACTGCATCCTCGGGCCTCAAACTCGGCATCTGCTTGATGAGCTCATTGCGCAAAGCCAAAATTGGGCGTTCTGTGTCGGTCTTCAAGATCGCTTGAGCATAGCCTAGCTGTTTGATACTTCTCGCTGCAATAGCCACACTGTACTGATGCACCCCTTTGCTAGGCAAACTGTGTGTAAAAACTCGCTTGCTCTTGTTGTCTCGAATGATCAGCAAAGGTAAACTGATATCATCCTTATCGCCCATATAAAAATAATCCATTGAAACTTCTGGAACCCTGCGACCCAAATCATCGACAAGACGTTTGTGCGCAGTGGTAAGACCTTTGCCCCGAACGCAATGCCTGCACCACGCTCTAAACGGTAGGTGTGTAAGATTGTGTTCGGCGACCTCACGTGCAGTGGGCTGGCTGGGCTGAGCCAACCCACGAGCTACAGATCCCTCTTCAGCTTCCATCACCTCAAGCTCTTCAGCATCGAAGTCTGTTGCTGGTGCTGCTTCCGCTGCGGGCGCGCCGAAAGCTGAAGGATCGTCGTCCTCTGTAGCTGCGGTATTCGGCGGCATCACCCCATCAAGCTCCTCGTCTTGGGCAAGTGAAGGTGAGTAGTCGCTCAAATGATCATCGTAAACATCATGCATTGTTCCGGCAGCTGTGTCTGCAGGGGCGGCGTCTGCGCCCTCACCAGCTGCTTCAGGACTTACGGCGTCTAGGCCTGCCACGGGAAATCCGTGGAGGCGTTTGGGAGCACGTTCATGTTGTAGACGTACACCCCGTCCTCTTGCCACAACATGATCTTGTCACCTGTGGTCTTGTCTATGATGTAGGACTCGCACCCCACACCATCTAGCCAAATGCCGAAGCCTTTGTTGCAAACACTTGCTGCTGACGTCAAGACCTTGTGAACATCTGCGACGCTGTAGCCAACCGCAAGCATCAAGCCCTCGTCCGTGGTGAAAACAGGCTCTACACGACCCTCATCGTGCACCAAGCCTCCGTTTGCAGCTGCGTAAGCGAGGCCTCCCTCAGAACTTTCTGTAGCCCTGATAGGGTAATCAGGGAAAGCTTGCTTGGGGGCGACTGAGGCGGCTGCACCGGAGTCCAACGTGGCCTGAACTCTGTAACTTCCTGCTGGCGCGCTGTGGCTTGAAGCCGAAGGCGCCGAAGTCAAGCCGTTGACGCTTTCCCTTCCAGGAAGGTACACGTGCAGACTGTTCAAACGACGGACCTGCAAGTGGCTGACTGGTGCTCCTGCTGTTGAGGCTGCTGCGGCTGCTTTTGCTGCGGCTGTGCTGCTTGGTGTGGCCGTGGTCTGCGCTGGTGCCGAGCTAAGGCCAGCACTCGTGGACTGCACAAACTGCACAGGCACGGACTGGCTGCTGGAGCTCTGCTGGTTTTGGTAGACCTCCATGGCAGCCTTGGCGAAGGCAGACTGCAAAGCACTGAGCTGTGGATCAATGCTGGCCAGAGACTTCGGCTTGTGCCAACACTGCTCCTTGGAGTGGCCCAACTTTCGGCAAAAGGGGCAGTAAGCCGTCGTTGAAGTCGCTGCTGGCTTGCCTTTGCCAGCACCTTTGCCGCGTCCTCCTGGCTTGCCACCACCCTTGCCCTTGCCACCAGACTTGCCTGTCAAGTGGTCCTTGCCTTTGCCGTCGCCGAACTTGCCAGAGCCTTTTGCGCCCAAGCCCTTGCCCTTGCCACCACCTTTTCTACACTCAAACGCCAGGTGCTCACCACCACAGATCCAGCAGGGACCCTTCTTTCTGATCACTGCACCGAGGTCCATGGCCGTGCTTGACACCTGGTACGTCGTCTCGAAGTAGCCGAAGATCTCCTCTCTGATGTCCTGGTAGGTCTTGAACCGGTGGGAGTTCAGGTTGAGATGTTCGCGTAGCTTGCCTGGGCACATAGCGATCACTGTGGCTATCTTGAGATTCTCAGACACCACATCTGAGCCTGGACGGGCTTCGTACTCGATGATGCGGTTCTCCCACGCGATGATCTCACCACCGAGTTGACCTAACGGGACATTCTCCGGCGGGCTGGTGATGCGCGTCAGGCTGGCGCGCTGCCGCCCGACTGTGGCTGGGTTGAAGCGCGCATGTAGCTTTCGCCAAGCCTCAAAGCCGTTCGGCCTTCGGGCTTGCTTGACCAAAGCTTTGGGCTCGCCTCCAGTGTAGGAGCTGAGACACGCGTAGATGTTGGAGTCTGCGTAATCAATCAGCAACGGGTCCACGTCAGGAAAATGCCGCTTGACAGCATCCTTATCCAGCGTCGTCTTTGGCTGATCATTCGCGATCCACTCAAGCACCTCCCATATGCCAGGCATGCTAGCATCAAGGAAAGTGACCATGGTGTCTTGCCAATCATGAAAGCTTTGCTTGGCCTCTTTGCTTCCATCGTACACAGAAGGCTTCCCAAGGTTCTTCTGATCAACAGCTCCTTGCTGGATGGCGTAAGCCACTGCTGGGTTCACCCGGGCGCTCCCGGCCAGGTTGAAAAGCTGAGGTCCTTGAAGAGGAACTTGGGACGAAACTTGCGGACCGGGCACGGCACCAAACGGCGTAGCTGCGGGCTGCTGAGCTTGAGTTGTCGGACTGCTTCCAACCACTGCCGCAGTAGCTGCGGGCTGCTGTGCTTGAGCCTGAACTGTTGGATTGCTTCCAACCGCTGCTGCTTGAGACGTGCTTGAGCCAGGTACGCTAGAAACATTATGCGCTAAAGCTTGCATCTGCTGCTGCAAAGCACTTACGCTGGAAATGACCTGTGACATCTGATCAATCCCAGTCTGTTGCCCTTGAACTGTGTGCGCCAGCTGCGTGAGCTGGTCCGTCGTCGCTTGCTGCTGCTGGGAAAAAGCCAACTGCACCTGCTGAACCACTTCTCCTACAACGTGCTCGGTCACAACTTGGGTGCCTGCAACACCCTGCTGAGTTTGCGCCACCTGCTGAGCCAACTCTTCAACACGCGATCGTTGCAGCTGCTGCTCACTAACGAGCTGCTGCAACAGATTGCCTATGTCCGCCATCGATGGCGTGCCTGTTGATCCACCACCATCTGTCATGATGCCCACAAATACTGTACTCGCAAAATGCGAAACTGATGCAGCGAAAAGTGGTTGTAATGTATGTAACGATCGTACAGTAAAGTCTCACGCACTGATTAAGATTGCCCCGGTATCCTCACCGCGGCTCCGCTACCATGAAGAACTATAGAGACAAATCACTACACCAACTAACTAAGGGGACTTTTGCACTGCACGGCTGCAGATTGGTACACTTCTCGATTTGTGCGTGTCGATCGTGAACATGTTGACCTGAGCGGAGGGGCCATGCTAATCTTCTCTGTACTTCCGAAAATTTAGGGTTTAGGGTTTAGGGTTTAGGGTTTAGGGTTCCAAAACCCCGAACCCTCCCGGTTTGCTCATGTAGGGGCCTTAATAATCAGAATAGGGTCTTTAAGGGGTTCCTTAGTATAATTATGGTACAATCTACCCCAGACCCTCTGCTAATGATTAAGGCATCTACCCCAAACCCTATTCTAATTACAAAGGCCCCTTTTATGTCAAGTGCGCCTTCTGCCTATATTATCCTAAACCCTAAAACCCTAGACCCTAAACCCCTAAACCCTAAACTCTAAAGCCTAAACCCTAAACCCCCTAAACCCTAAACCCTAAACCCCCTAAACCCAAAAACCCTGAACCCTAAACCCTAAACCCTAAGCCCTAAACCCTAAACCCTGAACCCCCTAAACCCTAACCGCGCCTTCTGCTCCACCTCCTTGCGGAAGGATGCTTGGAGCTTGGCGTAGTCGCCGACCTCGGCTGCTAGGCTCGGAGCCCCAAAGGGGGCCCCCGTAGGGGCCCTAGGGGCCCTAGGGGCCCTAGGGGCTTAGGGTATAGGGTTTAGGGTTTAGGGTTTAGGGTTTAGGGTTTGGGGTTTAGGGTTTAGGGTTTAGGGTTTAGGGTATTGGGTTTAAGGGTTTAGGGTATGGGGTTTAGGGTTTAGGATTTAGGGTTTAGGGGTTTAGGGTTTAGGGTTTCAAGGGGTTGTTATAAGTGCTACGGTTTAGGGTTTTTAGAATGCAGGGAGCCCAGCATGCTTCTCCGAACATCGTAGTCTTCAACACCACTACTACGCAGGAAAAACATACAAAAAAAAACAATAACATCATCATCGCCATCATCTTCCACGCTTCAGCCGTTGTTCAGGACATCACGGTCATGTCGCGACTGCTTGGTCCCCTTGTACCAAAGACAAGGTCATGGTCATCAACGCCCACGCACCGCTGGTTCGTCAACCATCTCGCCATCGCCGCCTTAGGCCGAATGGTGCGGCTCGGGCAATCTCTTCGGAGTTTTGCCGACGCCGTGCCCGGCAGCCCTGAGGTCCGGCCTGTGAGCCAGGGCAGCAGGTGTAGCCATCAGCCAGTTGATGTCTCCGGGGTGACTTTGAGTCAGTTCATACAAGCTCTTGGCCTTGTGCTCTCCGAAACTGACTGTCCCGCAGCCTCGGCTTCGGCATCCAATCGCAGCGGCAGCTGGCCACCAGCTGGCACACACGCGGGAGTACACCTGCCTTTGAGCTGGGCCGGACACGATGAATGGCTCTCCCTCAGCTTCATCTTATCATCATCAGCAGCGGCATCATCGTCGTCGTCTTCGCAATCGTCTCTATACCGCCATCGTCATCATCAGACTCATCATAGTCTTCGTCGGCATCGCCCATCACTGCTACCATCATCCATCATCGTCATCCAGAATCATCATCACCATCCTTTGCATCATCATAATAGCCGTCTTTACTCTTCGTTGTCGCCACCATCGATGCCAGCAGGCATTTTCATCACTATCAACATCCTCAAGGGGGGATGATAACTGAACCTTTCGAAACAGACGTTTACATCGATTCTACCGTGTGTGCCACACGAAACCGGCTTCGTCTTCGGATTTGTTGAAGTTTGGAAGTGCTTCGAACTGGAGCGTTGGACATGCCTGTCGCGTTAACGGCCTGGTGAGGCTCTGACGCGGGAAGTTGTAGATTGAAAGTAGCACTGGCGAACATACCGAAAGTACCACACCTGTCACACGAAGCATGGTTTTACTAGGATTGAGAATCTACTGAAGCAACCAGTCGTGTGACAGGATATGATCTGAAATGATAGGACATGACATGACATGATACGACATGACATGACATGACATGACATGATATGCTATGTTATGATATGGTAGCATGATATGATAGCATATGGTATACCATGACATGAAAGGACATGTGATGATGTGATTTGGCATGTCACACTACGGGTTGCTTCAGTAGATTCCCCCCCCTCCTCACACCCACCCCGCCCCAACCGCAAGAATAAGCGAAAAGTAGGCGCACTTATGCCCCCATGTGCATACACGATCGTCCTCGTATCCCGAACATCCCAAACCCTTGATCCTAATCTTTCCCTATGTAAGATTCAGGGACAGATGGGATTCGGACACCAAGTTTAAGTAAACAAATCAATCCGTCCGAAACAGGACATCTTCCGGAAACCTCCTGACTTGATACATCCTGAAACCCCATGCACCCAATAATCCCTGAATCGCCCCCCCAAAGCCCTATATCCTACACCCCCTAACACAAGCCGCAAGCACAGCCTCTCGGGAGGCCTTAGCTCCAAAACCCAAAACCCATGCAACGAGACCTTGTCAAGCCTCATAAAGCCCGACATCTGGAGAATTCTCTGAGGTCCCCTTTCAGGAACCCTCAAGAAGGCGGCACCCTTCTATAAAGGACCCTAAACGGGACCCGCATGTGGAGAAATACCCAAATAGCGCTAAATCCGCAAAAAAAAAAAAGCACTCCTCTCCAAGGCCGACGCCATTTCGGCGATGCCCTGCTCCTTCTGCAAGATGAGGTCGGCTGTTTCCTTCATGTGCATGTCGATGTCCAGCTGAAGGTCTGCGGGCTTTAGGGTTTAGGGTTTAGGGTTTAGGGTTTAAGGCGCTTACGGCTTAGGATTCAGTCACGTGTTTCATGCTTACCCAGAGACTCCAAAATCCATTAATTAAGGAATATACCGTAAATCATATTAGGGATCCTACTAGAATTTAAGGTATATTCCTCATTAATGAAGGGATATACCTTAAATCATGTTAGGGATCCTACTAGAATTTAAGGTCTATTCCTTAATGAAAGGATATACCTTAAATCATGTTAGGGATCCTACTACAATTTAAGGTCTATTCGAGTCTCTGGGACCTTTATAGAACCCTAAACCCTAAACCCTAAACCTTTAGAGCACCCTTATAGCACTGAAGTCTCTGGGATAAGGCCCTCTGAGCTTCCCACGAAGATCCCCGCAACCAGGCTACGATTTTGAGGAAGCTTGTGCCATGCTGCCAGTTCCCAAAGGGCGGTTTAGGGTTTAGGGTTTAGGGTTTTTTGGGAGCCATGAAATTACGGAGTGCTACGGAGTTTGCGGATATGCTTGAGCTGGGGGATATACCTCAATTATAAACGGTGTGGTATTATGATGTATTGTTATGACAACAACAACTACTACTACTACTACTACTACTACTACTACCACTACTACTACTACCACTACTACCACTACCACTACTACTACTACTACTACTACTACTACTACTACTACTAGGCTAGCGCGCCCTGAGG